TCGACGGACTACCCCTTCTCACCGTTCCGGATTTGGGTGCCCGGGTGTCTTCATGTGCGGCTTTCGCTGCGCTGCAGCCTGCGTTGACATGCGGCAGCGAGTGTTCTGTTTCTCCTGTGTTTTGACAGACGTTGACTTCATGGTGTGCTGTTCGATTTGCGTTGTCGTTCGCAGACAGTATGTCTTCTTCCAAGGGTGAGGTGGAGCCAACAGGGACCTCCGGGAAAGAATCACGAAAAGATTCCACGAGGCGGTCGTCTACTGCCACGCAGGGGTGGTCGAACCATTCGAGGTCGAAATGGTTTATCGACTACTGCTGTGGAGACGCTTCCATCCCCACTGCGCAGCCATGTGGTCCTGTCATCTTCATCGATGACAGCAGAAGGCGTAGAGTGCTTGGTGCCGTCTTGCGGTGGGAGGACGCAAAGGGGGGCTGACAACATTTCTATACGCAGAAAGTTTATGGCGCCAAGGGCAACGTTGTTGCCAATTCGAAAGGGACGTTGTTGGACCTCGAATTGTGTGAGGGGTTCGGAGCGGGTGCTGTGAACACCCCGTTCTACAGAGAACTCGTTCTCGGGGGCGGTTTTGTTTTGGCGCGTGAATTTTTCGACATGTTGGAGGACAAAAACATCGCTCTAGACGTCCCCTGCGACGTCAACCCATTCCTGGAGTTGTCGTTGCCGTTGAAGCTGTGCAGCGGTTGCGAGTCAAGCGGGGCAGGGGCGGAGGGCGGTGATCTGGGTTCTGGTCCCGCCACTCAGCTGCATCGTGGCGAGAGTCGAGGTCAGTTCGACGACAGCGAGGATGAGGGGACTGCTCTGCCGTTGAGTGACACGCGGCGGTCTGTGTTATCTATTCCTGGGGTTCAGACTGATGCTCCTGCTCAGCGGAAGAGTACGGGGCCTGCAGTACACGTGGCAACCTATTCGGAGGTCGACTTGGAGACGAGCGAGGGACAGGGTGTGGAGGAGGTGGACGCGGGAGGCCTAGGCTCTCAAGGAGCTCCGCAAAAGAGGAGGGGGGATCGTCCAGACGAGTTCGCCGGTTCTACGAAGAAGTTAAAGAGCAAGGCCCCCAGGACTGCGGGGGAGAAACGCAAGGGGACCGAGGGGGAGCAGGGCCGGCAGGTTGCCAAACGACCGTCTTCGAGACAGAAGCAGCCTGAGTCTGGACCGTCTTTTCCACCGACAACAGGGACTCCCATCGACGTCGACGCCGGGTACTTCCTCGAGTACAAAGACGGCGTTCGGACAAAGCGGGAGTTCGACATTAGCCCTGCGCAGGTCGTCGACCTCGGGGACTGGGAGGACCTGTACAACCAGCGGTCCCTGGATCCCGTGCTTGTGGAAGGGATCAAAGAAGCGATGCGGTTGGCGTTCGAAAACAAAGCGCAGTCTTACGATTTACCAACCCTGAAACTGGCGCCGTTGGGGCTTGATAAACCGACTCCGGGGACCAGGGTAGAACGTTTGAGACCGGAGGATTGGAGGGATGAGCTGGCGGGACAATACTACTACTACGCGGTGTGTGGGCAGCACAACGCGGCTGTAGCGAGGTCGCTGCTCGGCAGCGAGGTGGCCAGGAAATACAATTTCGAGCGGTGGCCTGCACGAATGGTCTACTTTTCGGACGACGACTTCGAAGGGTACTTCCTTGTCAGTTCCCAGGACAACAAGAAGAACCTGAAGGCGCCCCCACGACAACTGAAGCTGTCAACGAGGGACATTAGGTGGCACTGGAAGCGCGCCGGTTGCCCGCGTGCTGTTATGGGGAACCCCATCGGAAAACAGGATCAGGTCCGGAAGTCGCGTGAATTCTGTAATGTCGCACTCAACATGACACCGCACAACAACTTGTGGATTCTCGCAAATCAGCAGGGCGAGGAGGCCATCAGAAAACAAGGCGCTGCCCTGCGTTCCTATTTCCCGCTGGCGATGGCAGGGGAGAACGTCTGGAAATTGGCCGTCGAGTTTTTCGAGAAATGGGAGATAGGCAGATTGCTCGGACACGACGGCGCAAAGTGGATCATGTGGAAGAAGAAAGTCAAAAACGTGAAGCCTGGGGTTGCATACATCCATAATGACAAGTTGGGCAGGAAGGAGGTCGTGTACAACGTCCCTGTGGAACCGCCGTCAAGGAAAGGCAAAAAGGAGAAAGAGGAGGGCGAGTGGTTCGTGCAAGTGCCAGAGCCGAACGTGCATTGTTGGAAAACGATGGAGTCGCTGACAGACAACGAGAAGTGCCGCGTCCTGAAGAAGGTGCTCGCTTGCGAGGTGGTTTGGGTACAGGCCGTCTCCCCGGCGTTGGCGAAGCTCGGAAAGCTGAGCGTCCACGAGGTGGTGAATTTGGTGAAGTGCGACAGGGTGCTGGTGCGTATGTGGAACTACTACCAGTTCAAGCACGACAAAAGGCCGGACGCGGATTGGAATCAGAGGTTCCTGTTCCTTAAATCAAGGTCCTCAATTTTCAAACAGTTTGAGAGTCGTGGTTTGGATGCTGAGTTGTGGGACGGGAGTACGAAATACGTCACTGACTCCTCGCTGTTCAAGAACTGCCCGCCCTACATGGGCTGCGACGACGACAGATCGATCGAGGCGACGAAGAAGCTGGCCGGTCACAAGAAGTTGTCCGTCGACTGGAGGAATAAGGTCATGTCCGTGTTGACTGGCAGTAGACTGAAGAGTCGAGAGATCGCGCTCGCCGAAGGCATTGTGCACATAAAATGGAATGACACGGGCGACGTGACACCCATCGCGCCATTCGGCAACGACCCCTTGGAGGCAAACGTAAGGAGTGCGGAGGTGAAGGAGGCAGTGGTTGCCACAAAGAGTCACACGTTCGTCCTCGATCTGTGCGAACCGGTGGACCTGAAGCTTTGGAAACCGCAAGCGTTCGACACTCTGAATTCCCAACTCCAGACGTGGTGTCCGTCGCATTGGACGCTCGTTGTTTTTGTCCCGCGGCAGCAGAACCTCTCCTTTCTGGCCAGCATGAACCATCTTTCTTTCGTCAAGCTGTTGGAAGGGAAGTGGGTGAGGAGGAATCAACAGAAGAAAAGCTTCCCCGTCGGGAACAATTTGTACACGGAAGATGACCGGATGTACATACTCTTCAAAGGCGACGATTTGCGGGTCAACACGTCCGTCGTCTACGAGGGGAAACTGCCGGCAGGCGCCGCTGCTGCAGTGCGGGTACCACAGAAGGTTACGCAAACGGATGTGTCTGACATCCCATTCAACAATTGCGACTGGTCGCATACCTCGCCTGCACGTCGGGGCATTGTGTACGGGGACATGGAACGCAACCCCGCCCAATTCTTTCAGCGTCTCAAATCCATCACCAAGAAGGGGGAGGGTGTCGTCTTCCTCGGGAACCTACACGCGCGGTCAGTTTGGGAAGTACTGAAGGCAGGACGGCACGTCATCGCGATGGAAGGGAACTCCGAGCTCTTGCAATTTACAATTGATCTCGTCAAAAAGCGAGGTCAATTCGGGTGCCCACAATTGCGAGTTCATGGTCGTCACCGGAACTCGGGCTCGCGCGTGGAACAACAAGACGGACATGTGGTTCAAGTTGAGTGCGAGGAAGCGGAACAAGATATACGACTTCTTGTTCCTGCAAACGCAGCCGAAGAGAGACACCGACGCCGAGTACGTGCGCCGCAAGGACCACATGTTCACATTGCTCGACAACTACCATGGCGCCTCCCGCATGAACGCGAAGACCTTCCTCGAGAGGTTGCAGTCCCTTTACTTCGTGGAGTCAGAGGAGGAGCTGACGTTCGGCAGTTACTCCTCCTTGATCTCCACGGAAGACGAGGAGACCACCGGCGTCGAGTTCGACGCGACCGCGAACGAGGAGGGCAGCGACACCGAAAGCCTCGATCTGCAGTACGGCCAACATTCCGCGCAGCACAGTACAGGGTCGTCCTTGGCAGGTCCGTCGACAAGCCCGGCGTCCCTCGTGTCACCGATGGCGAAACCGGCGCCTGGCACTACCCCGATGAAGTTGCTGCAGAGAATGCAAGCTCTGGCCTCCGGCCATCACTCACTGAGTCCCGGGTCTGACATCCCGCCCGATCATCTGTCTTGGACAAATGCCAACATTCACTTCCTGCCTGAGCCTCAAAGTCGTTCCACGGAGGCGGACTGGGGCCATGACATGATTTGGCATCCAGGAGTCATCCAGCCGGCGATCCAAAAAGGTGAGTGGATCGTGGCGGTCGCTGTCCCGAACGGAGGATGGATGCCACTCCCTCGCGGGTCGAAGTCTGACTTCCTCGACGTCGCTAGAATTGCGGTCCTCCAGAAAGTGAGAGCCGAGAATGGCTCTTTTGAGCCCGAAGACGTGTCCGTCATTTCCACAGCCGGGCGATTGTTCGCCGAACTTCAGGACAAGTGCTGGTTGGAGCTGATGGAGGACTACTACGACCTCGACACGAGCCCCTCGAAAGGAAGGGTGGACTGAAAAATCCCCCCTCCCAGAGGGACGCATGTAAGAACAGGGTCCCGGGGACCGAAAGGTGGGGAGAACGAGGGCGACGAGGCTGGGGCCGGCAAACGAGTCCCGGGGCGACAACAAGACGGCGACGAGGCTGAGGGCGGGTCTCAGGGCGACACCACGACGGCGGAAGGCAGCGGCGGGGTGGCGGGGGAGGCCCTCGGGCGTCAGCAGTCTACCGGTCCCAATCCGAAATGCTCGACACAGTCGGAGGACGTGCCCAGTTCATCCGCCTGCTCGGTGATGGCGGCCTTGGTTGCTCTCCGCGCCGGCTCGGTCGAAACATTCAAGTCCGCCGGGATCCGAACTTCAATGCTTGCAGAGCGGACAGAGAGGACGGACGCACAGAGCTGGTCAGGAGCGGGGGTGGCGAGTCCTCATCCCAAAATAGACAACGGTGCGGTGAGGGACAGGACTTCGCCGCCTGCGAGGGATCGCCAACCACTTCGGTCGGAGCGAAAGGGTGCGTGTGGAGGGCCCGGTGAAAGGGAGACGACGAAGTTCACCGGGATCCGAACTTCTCCAGGCAAGGAGTGTGGAGGGCCCGGCGACAAGGAGACGGCGAAGTTCGCCGGGATCCGAACTTCTTCACGCAAGGCGTGTGGAGGGCCCAGCGACAGGGAGTCGGCGAAGTTCGCCGGGATCCGAACATCTTCAGGCAAGGGGGGCCAACCAAGGATATTGGTGCAGGCGAGAGGGGTTGCGTGCGACGGGCGGGAAGTGCATTCATCAGGAATCGACACGGGTTCGGGCGAAGTGGCTGCATTGCATGCAGGGGAAGAAGGCAGGGTGATGGACAAAGAGAAGGAAGTGGAGGAAGGACACACAGGGGAGGAATTGGAGGAAGGAAGGGATGAAGGGGAGGAAGAAGAGGATGAAGGAGAGGAAGGGGAAGAAACGGAGTTGGTTGGGTTGCTAGGAGGGTAGGAGGGGGGAAAAGGTGAACTCGATACAGGAGACGACGAACGGACTTTCGGCGACGACGATGACAGATCTGGGGAGTCTTCTGACGGATTTGGGCAGCTGTACGGAGAACACCGCGAGGAAGACGAGGACGACGATGACACGGCACTGGGTATGGAGACACAGATGGTCACAAGCCTTTCGGCAGAACGTGATGACTACGACGTCCAAGCAATGACGTCTGCCGTCGATCTCCAACACCGGTTCAACGAAGCTCGTGTAGCAGTCAGCCTGACTAAACCGAGTGTGCGTATTGACATCGAAGAAGTTATCGACGGCATCCTGGGCGACCACCAAATGTCCGCGCAGCCGTCCTCAACGCCTGGTGTCGACGACCCTCTCGACGTCAAACCTTCCGGGGGATCTGTCATCGATTTCTCGCCGACGAGCCCTCCGATGCTGCCGCCAACCATCGCCAGCGGAGGAGAACGCGGGATCGGGGGACGACAAGATGTCACATCCCCGAAAAAAACTGTCGTCGGCACTCGAGCTCTCGACGTGCTGGCCTTGCCTGCGCCAACTTCGCCGATTAAGAAGCGGAGAGACAAACCAGCTGGTAAGCAGTGACAAACGCCACTCTGTCTGCGCGCCAGTGACCGCAGTGTCTGTCAATGCACACGAGACAAAAACATATGTGTTTTTGTTGAAGCGTTCCCTCACATAATGGAAGGATGGTGTTTCTCTTTCGGAATGAGTGGTGGTTTTAGTCCGTCGGCATCCGCACTGCCAAGGCCGCTGCGTAACGCGGTTACTMTTCTGGTGCCTSGATTGRGAAAAGYCCGYCGGGATCCTGRCTTCACGAATGTTTGGCCTCCGGGTTTGTGGCTTGTTGAGGTTTTCCCTTCTGAAGGGCGGGGGTGTCGAGGTCGAACGCACTGCTCTTTTTGTTTTCCAGCGGGGCCTGCGCGAAAGTATTCTCTATCTCTTTCATGGCTAAACGGGGCTCTGTAAATAGATAGGTCCTACGTCTTCTACATTTCGTGGTTCTTGAGTTGTCGTTTTCATCGGGTTCGTCTTGGATTACGTGAGTTCATTTTTCGTTTTCTCTTCCTTCGGTTCCACAGGGGTTGGGTCATCTCCCTGGGTTGGAAAAGTCAGCCGGGATCCGGACTTCAGAGATGTTTGCCTTCCGCTTCTGTGACTTGATGTGCTTTTCCCTTCTGAAGGGCGGGGGTGTCGAGCTCGAGTGCACTGTTCGTTTTGTTTTGCAACGTGGCTCGTGCGGAAGTTCTCTCTCTCGCACTCTCATGGCATGACAGGGTTCTGTAATTGCATGGGTCCTGCATCTTTTAGATTTCGTGGTCCCTTAATTGTCGTTTCGTTGGGTTCTTCTTCGGAAACGTGTATTCACTTTCCGTTTTGTCTTTCTTCTGTTGTACAGGGGTAGGGTTGTCTCGAACACGGAGACCCTCTAAATATCCGAAACACATACTGCATACAGTTCCGGGGTTGACGACAAAACACAAGGACATGTTAAAGGCGTCAGGGGTTGATGTCGAAATCGGGAAGAATGAGCATGCCATTGCCATTGAGAAGTGTTTTTCCCTTCTGCCCCCAGAGAAAGGGACATATCCACGATCTGTGACTAGGGGTCAGGCCATGTATGAGAAATACTTAGCTTCTCGTCGTGCGATGAAGGAGAATCCTTAGTGTTCCGTTTCTCACTTCCCCCCCTGTCCTTCGCTCGATGTTGTGCAGTGCGGGCCACGACACCTGGAACAGCAGTGACTGCGATTGAAAGCTTGCGGGTTTTGGACGACATTGAACGAGGCTTGGTGCCACCTGACACTGTACTCTCGACCCTCCACGATGGTCAGTTGTGAATTGCAGAGAAGGATATTCTCACCCTCTCACTTACCGACGGCAGGGTGAATGATGAGGTGGTCAACTTCTACATGGCGCTATTAGGAACGACCGCATATGGGACAAGTGACATCCCGCCAGGCCTTCGAGTCTTCACCTTTAATTCTTTCCTCTTCAGTAAACTGCAACTTCAAGGGCACAGCGGGATGGAAAGATGGGGTAAAAACGTGGATCTGCTTGAATATGATATTATCTTTGTTCCAGTCCTCAAACATAATGATCACTGGATCCTCCTTTCCGTGAGCTTGAGAGATAATGTTCTTGAGATTTTCAATTTTTTTCCTTGCGTTGTAGCCGATTCTAGTTTTTACCTTAGTGTTTTCGAGTTGATCGTACACTATTTGGAATGTGAAACATCACATAGGCGCTCGTGCAGGCGCTGGAAGTCGGTGGCAGCAAATGTTGTTATAGAGGGAGTTCCAAGAAAAGTGGATGGTGTTAGTTGCGGGGTGTTTATGTTGATGTTTGCGACACTGTTGCAACGTGGCGATCGACCGCCTTTCAGGTTCTCTTGTAAAAATATTCCGTATATTAGACGACAACTGGCATCATGTATCTTGGAATGTCGTTGTCTTTGATGGATTCGATTCATTTGCAAACTTCTATTTTAAAATATTTCATATTTAACTGTCGCTTTCACAACGACATTACTTTCTTTCAGTGTTGCGGGTTTGAGTTGTCTTTGGCATGTTGACTGTCAGTTTGGTGTCGCGTATTGCCTTCGGAATCTCTGTCAGGTCCGCCTCGTCTGTCGTGTCATTACATTCATCGCATTGCAGTCCTCGTTGCAAATTGTGTCCAGGTCATCCAAGGTTGTGCATATAATTCACCTCGAAATGATATTCGTGTGTGTGGTGCGACATGACGAATTGGAGTGTGGATGCAAGACAAATCTCGGCGAGTGTGTGGGTGTGAGGTTCGTTATGCAAAAAGTGAAAGACCAGTGACATCACGTCTCTTGTATGCATAGACAATCATGTACTTGTGACCGCCTGAATTACATGTGACCGACAATTTTGCGTTCTTGACCGGGAAAAATAAATTGTATGTAAAAAATAACAGTTACTGTTTGTACTTCTAAAGAAGTCTGAATCTCTAGAACATCCAGACAACCGCCTCAGACGAGACGATAGCCATGCATGTACAACTCACGCATAAAAGAAATAAATAGTATTATCCAACAAGGATTCAATCATGACAACTTGCTCATCACATTCACAAACTTGAAGTTTGACAAGTGTGGCTCCCGACACACTATCGCATAGGCATCTCGGATGGGCGTGCCTGTTGTTACTCTACGTCTTCTAATATAATTATTCAACGAGGATGCAATCATGACACATTGTTCGTCACAATTATGGAATTGAAGTTTAACAAGTACGGATCCTTACACACTTTCGCACAGGGTTCCCTGATGCGCGTGCCTGTCGTTATTCGTTTATGAAGTATAACAAGTGCGGATCCCGACACTCTTCGGCACAAGATTCACGACACATTTCTGAAGTTCAACAAG